ATAGCACCAGCAACTGTAGTTGGTCCTCTGTGTCCAAGGATTCCACATTTGTGGATTCAGCCAACCTCAGATCAAAAATATTTCAGAAAAAATTGTGTCTGTACTGTACATGTACAGACATTTTTTCTTGTCATTGTTCCCTAAACAATATAACAATAGTTTATATAGCATTTACTTTCTATTATAAGTCATCTGGAGATGATTTAAAATATTTAGGAGGATGTATATAAGTTATGCAAATACTATACCATTTTATATAAGAGACTTGAGCATCTTTGGAATTTGGTATCTGTTGGGGGAGGGACTTCTGGAACCAACCCCCTATGGATCTAGAAGGACTCTATTCCATTTTTTCTGAGATAGTCCAACTTACTTTCCTCAGTGAGTCAGTGAGTAGGTGTGGTCTTTTGCATTCTTGACAACTTCTGTTTTCTCCTGTCTGTGTTTCCTAAGGGACTTCTATAGTTGTGAGAACAAGTCAGGAATTAATATCTCGTAAAGTATTCCATCATTTAAAGACACAAAAAAAGATACTGCATCTAGAAAGAAAGAAGAAAAGACGTGATATCCAGTTGAATAAACAGAATAATGCAAACAACAACAGTTTTCCTGGATTTTGAATAAATAACAAAATATTAAGCCAAAAATATATAAAACAAAATATAGAATTTTAAGAAAACTTGCTTTATTTTCTGTTTCTTTTGTTATTTTGTCCCTGTCAGGATGCTCGACATGCAGCAGAAGGAGAAATATATACCAAACTTAATCAAAAAATTGATGAATTTGTTCAGCTTGCTGATTATGATTGGACAATGTCTGAGCCAGATGGAAGAGCTAGTGGTTATTTAATGGATCTTATTAATTTTTTGAGAAGCATCTTTCAGGTGTTTACTCATTTGCCGGTAAGTATGAACAATTTCAAAAATTTCTACAGATTTGCTTACTAAAGCATATTTTAGAGTTTATTTTATTTGAGGTTTACTTATTTAAAACGACTTCCTAGTTTGCATAGTTCCTTTCCTATTATTGTAAATCAGTTTATAAAAAATCATAACTTAGCTAGTTGTTTGAGGTTTTAATATGTTTTACTGGTTTTATAAAGTAACTGCAGTTGTCTTCCTAACAAAACCAAGACAAAAGACTGAACTTTAGTAGAGTTAAATAGAAGTAAGCTCTAATAGTTTTCATGAAAGTCAATATAATCAATGGCTTTTTCTAATTTGAAAAAGGGCTATTAAGAACTATTGAGTATTTTTTAGCCAAGACATAAAAAGTAAAACAGGAGCACTGTTCTATCTTGGCACATAATCATAGTGCCAGGTACATATTTAATTCATCCACATCTTCAACTTTGTTGCCAATCTCTCTCTCTCTCTCTCTCTCTCTCACACACACACACACACACACACACACACACCACACACACCACACACACAGGAGTCGGCAAAGGCATTTGGGTAAGAATAGGCTGGTGCATTGATTCCTTCAGATTAGAACTGGCAGAGACCAAGAATGAGATGTACACATGCTGCTGGTTTGAGTATATTCCAGAAGTAAATACCACTATTGTTAAAAAAAGAATGGGGTTAGCTTTTATAAATAAAATAGTGGAGGAATTTTTATCAGACTTTTTATCTTCTGTTATAAAGAATATAGCTGAACATGAAAATAAACTAATCTACAGCCTAAACAACTGCTACCCTCTCCCTTGTTTGGAATGAAAAAAAGAAAGTTATTTTCCTCACCCTTTACTCTTTCCTCATTAGAGTTGCTCCAAAAAGCTGATTAAAATAGTTGAGGGGAGGAGTTTAAATATAATTAACAATACACACACAATAGATACACATATATGTGTGTGCGTGTGTTGTGTATATATATATATTTAACGTATGTATAAATATGTTAATGAGATTTACTCATGGATCTTGGTTAGGGAACTTCTAAAAGCTTATGGAGGGATGGTATTGTATTCCTAACTGCTGTCCTTAAATTATAAAAGGAAATCTTTTTTTTTTTTTTTATTTTACTTTTATTATTCATATGTGCATACAAGGCTTGGTTCATTTCTCCCCCCTGCCCCACCCCCTCCCTTACCACCCACTCCACCCCTCCCCTCCCCCCTCAATACCCAGCAGAAACTATTTTGCCCTTATCTCTAATTTTGTTGTAGAGAGAGTATAAGCAATAATAGGAAGGAACAAGGGGTTTTGCTGGTTGAGATAAGGATAGCTATACAGGGCATTGACTCACATTGATTTCCTGTGCGTGGGTGTTACCTTCTAGGTTAATTCTTTTTGATCTAACCTTTTCTCTAGTTCCTGGTCCCCTTTTCCTATTGGCCTCAGTTGCTTTAAGGTATCTGCTTTAGTTTCTCTGCATTAAGGGCAACAAATGCTAGCTAGTTTTTTAGGTGTCTTACCTATCCTCACCCCTCCCTTGTGTGCTCTCGCTTTTATCATGTGCTCATAGTCCAATCCCCTTGTTGTGTTTGCCCTTGATCTAATGTCCACATATGAGGGAGAACATACGATTTTTGGTCTTTTGGCCAGGCTAACCTCACTCAGAATGATGTTCTCCAATTCCATCCATTTACCAGCGAATGATAACATTTCGTTCTTCTTCATGGCTGCATAAAATTCCATTGTGTATAGATACCACATTTTCTTAATCCATTCGTCAGTGGTGGGGCATCTTGGCTGTTTCCATAACTTGGCTATTGTGAATAGTGCCGCAATAAACATGGGTGTGCAGGTGCCTCTGGAGTAACAGTCTTTTGGGTATATCCCCAAGAGTGGTATTGCTGGATCAAATGGTAGATCGATGTCCAGCTTTTTAAGTAGCCTCCAAATTTTTTTCCAGAGTGGTTGTACTAGTTTACATTCCCACCAACAGTGTAAGAGGGTTCCTTTTTCCCCGCATCCTCGCCAACACCTGTTGTTGGTGTGTTGCTGATGATGGCTATTCTAACAGGGGTGAGGTGGAATCTTAGTGTGGTTTTAATTTGCATTTCCTTTATTGCTAGAGATGGTGAGCATTTTTTCATGTGTTTTCTGGCCATTTGAATTTCTTCTTTTGAGAAAGTTCTGTTTAGTTCACTTGCCCATTTCTTTATTGGTTCATTAGTTTTGGGAGAATTTAGTTTTTTAAGTTCCCTATATATTCTGGTTATCAGTCCTTTGTCTGATGTATAGTGGCAAATATTTTCTCCCACTCTGTGGGTGTTCTCTTCAGTTTAGAGACCATTTCTTTTGATGAACAGAAGCTTTTTAGTTTTATGAGGTCCCATTTATCTATGCTATCTCTTAGTTGCTGTGCTGCTGGGGTTTCATTGAGAAAGTTCTTACCTATACCTACTAACTCCAGAGTATTTCCTACTCTTTCTGTATCAACTTAAGAGTTTGGGGTCTGATATTAAGATCCTTGATCCATTTTGAGTTAATCTTGGTATAGGTGATATACATGGATCTAGTTTCAGTTTTTTGCAGACTGCTAACCAGTTTTCCCAGCAGTTTTTGTTGAAGAGGCTGCTAATTTCTCTCATC